ATTTATTTATTTATTTATTCGATTTACACCCTGCCCTCCCCACCAAAGCAGACTCAGGGCGGCTTACATAAAAAGTTAAAACACATAAAACAAAGCAGATATTAAAAAAATAATAAAAGTAACAGTAGTGATGGCAGTAGTAATATTGCATCATGATGGTGGAAACACAGTAACAGATCCTGATGGAATAGCTGTAGTCATTGTTGATGTACAGTTTACCTTAATCCATTTATGCTGGCAGGCACAGGCTGCTGCTGGTGATTCCAGGGGAAGATGATTTTTGATATTTTTGATTAAGATGATTTATTATATATGTAGAAATTATTGTAAAAATATTTTTCAAAAAATATAAAATTATTCATGATATGTTATAATCATCTGTGCACGGTACTTGTTGTATGTTGGTGATTCCAGGGGGGCAGGGCCTTGTCACAGTTCAATTATTAAATCCGTGAGATAATTTAGTAAAGGTCTTGTTTTAAATACGGGGAACTGATTGTATCTAAACTTGAATTCATGGTGGTAAATGAGTGTGAAGAAGTGGGGTAATCTGGTGGATTAAGGGTTAAATCTTCTGGAAATTGCCAATCCACCCCTGGATTTCACTGTGTCATTTTGCCCTTTAAAAGCTTGGTTGTAATAGTTGTAGTCTATAAAAAGTAAATAGAACTCTATAAGAAGAATCACAGAGCCCCTAATCTGTGTGCTTTGTGTCCCTAATTTTCTTCAGCATAGCTCCTCTTGTTCAAAATGGAGAAAATAATGTTGATCTACCTGACAAGACGGTTGTAAGGATAAGTGAGAGATGATACCAAGCATTTTGAATGATCAAAAAGACTGAAAGAAATGCAAATGATGATTACTTTAACTATAAAAGCCCAACTAGGGAGTTCATGGTTCAGCACATAATTGGACAACACCTCCTTGGCCCAAGTCCCTCATGCTGTTTTATTACTGGAAGTAGTTTAAATAAAGCTTCTAGATAGGACTCTTGGAGATAGTCCTTGCAATTTAAAAAAAAATCTGTTTAAATGGTAAACAAATGAGTGTTGGAGAATGTTTAAAAACGTCAGGAAACGCTGAACTGTCAATGCTGGATAGAAAATCAAGTATAAATTTACACCAGAGCCGAGTAGGCTGCTATAAGATTTGCCACTTATCTCAAAATAAATAATTTAGGAGCCATATAGGATGCCCGACGAAAGCTTGCACTTTGCTGAATTGTTTTACTTTCCCTTGACAGGTTTATTTCTATTGGATTTGCCGAGATCCATCTGCCTTTGAGTGGTTTGCTGATCTCCTGTGCTTGCTGGAAGCACAAATGACTGAGAAAGGGAAAGCCCATTTTCTAAGCTATCACATATTTCTTACTGGCTGGGATGAAAGTCAGGTATAAACGAAATCTGATGGGACTGCATTACTGAATTTTACTTTTCCAGGGCTGCAGCCTAAGGAACAGTAATCAAATGAATGCTTAATTGCATGAAGCATGGCTTCCTAAAAGCGAATAGTGGTTATTTGTTTTATGAAAGGATCTTTTTAAAGTACAGTAACTAAGGAGTCCCAGGGACTTCACCTGAGGCCTCTGTCCTCTGCAACTGTAGCTCAGCACCTGGATTTGCAGTAGCTATTACTTGGGCACCCTCCAAGCCTTTCTCTCCTCTATGTATCTCTCATATTCTCTTCCTATTCATTCCATCTTCTGTTTTCCCTGTGGCTCAGTTATGCCACCAACCAAATTCTCTGTCCTTGTTGAAACTCTCAAGTTCTCTTTAAGTACCTCACGGTTTCTATCACCAATTGTACGTCAGCCTCTGCAAGCCATTTTTGAAGGTTCTGCAGGATATCTATTACCACAGCCGATTGAAAGGCAACAGAGGGAACTTCATGTGTGTATTCAAATATCCACTCCAATCAAATATCCACTCCAATCTCCCTTATAAATAAAAGCCAAATGGTGGTGGCACTGCTCTAGAACATTCCACACACTCCGGAATTGGTTGGCACCCTGGTGTGTCACTCACAGGGCATCTCTCTCCATTCGCTGTGCTGCCGCCTGTGTGGGTGTCCTCCCACTCACGGAGGCAGCGACCACTCTTTTGCCCTCAGTTTCCTTTGAGCCGTGGCCCGGCCCGGGTGCTCCACTGGCCAGACACCCTCACTCGGCCTGCAGGCCCAAGATGGGGCCATGCCACCACTGCTGAGCCGCAGCAGCCGGAAGCCACCACCAGCCAAGAGGAGGCCCAGGTCGACATGCGCTGGATCCGCCCAGCCGCCTGGAAAGGCACCGGGGGTGGCCCATTCCCTCGCACCTCCCCTGGGTGGTCTGCGGATGAGGGGAGATGGCGCCGTGCCACGACGCCTGAGGCCGGCCGGAAAGCCAGGCCCAGCCTGTCCTGTCGCCCCATGGTGGGGATGGACGAGGCCAGGCAGCTTGGCCTGCCGAGGCCTCAAGCGCGCAGAGGGAGGGCCAAGGAGAGGGGTCCAGGGAAGGAGACGTGGGCCCGCAGCCAGCCACCCGAGCTGCCGCCCATTGCAGGGAGAGGGATGAGCCTGGTCTGCTTGCCCTGCTGGGGCCTCGCTCGGTTGGGGGTGGTGGTGGGAGCAGCCAACCCAGGCGCCTTGACCCGCTGGGGCCTCGATCCCATGGGGGGAGTGTGGGCTACTTCCCTGAGTTGGAGGGGGATGAAAAGCGGATGGCGCCCTGCGCCCGGCTGGGCTCGCACCCATTGCAGGGAGAGGGGCAAGCCTGGCCGACTTCCCCCACTGGCAACTCAATCGAGTGGGGGTGCCGGGGGAGGGGCGAGGCCAGGCGCCTTGGCCCGCCGGAGCCTCAACCGTGCGGGGTAGGATGGCCAGCTTCGCCCTGGGGAGGCCAGATGGAGACGGCGACCTGCATCCATGGCCAGGCTAGCGCAGGAGGGCAGAGGAGAGGGGGCTGGGGAAGGAGACGCGGGCCTGCAGCTGCCCGCCCAAGCTGCCACCCACTGCAGGGAGATGGACGAGCCCAGTCTGCTTGCACCGCTGGGGCCTCGCTCGGCCAGGGGTGGTGGCGGGAGCAGCCAACCCAGGTGCCTTGACCCACCGGGGCTTGACCCTGTGAGGGGGAATGCGAGCTGCTTCCCCAAGTTGGGGGGTGGGAAGTGGGCGGCGCCCTGCAACCAGCCGGGCTCATGCCCATTGTGGGGAGAGGGCCAAGCCTGGCTGGCTTCCCCCACCAGCGCCTCGAGTGGCCGGAGGTGCCGGGGGGAGGGGCGAGGCCAGGCGCCTTGGCCCGCCGGAGCCTCAACCATGCGAGGCAGGACGGCCAGCTTCGCCGTGGGGGGGCCAGATGGAGACGGCGACCCGCACCCGCGGCCAGGCTAGCGCCGCATTGTCTTCAGCTCCACAACAGGCATTCTTCCTAGTCACATATAAAATGGCAAGTTTGAGGATACATGGAAGAGAGCTTTTTTTTAAGCCAGTTTGGTGTAGTGGTTAAGTGTGTGGACTCTAATCTGGGAGAACCAGGTTTGATTCCCCACTACTCCACTTGCACCTGCTGATGTGACCTTGGGTCAGTCACAAGCTCTGGCATAGCTGTTCCTGAAAGAGCAGTTTCTGTCAAGAGTTCTTTCAGCCCCACCCACCTCACAGGGTGCCTGTTGTGGGGAGGGGAAGGGAAAGGAGTTTGTAAGCCGCTCTGAGACTCCAAGTGAAGGGCGGGGTATAAATCCAATCTTCTTCTTCTTCTTCTTCTTCTAAACACAAAATGGAGTGCATGGGTGAAGGGAGTGAAACCTCCCACACACAGACACCTTTCTATGCTTTGTTGGGTTTTTTATACCACAGTTCTTATATCAGAACTGGGCTGGGGAAAACGTTTCAAACAACAGAGTGCAGTGAGGTAAGGGAGGGGAGGGGGAAAGCTCCTCTCACCTGTGCATTGTTTTGTGTCAAAAAATGGTGGTAGAAAGTGCCATCACATCACAGTCAACTTATGGTAATGAAGGTCGCAATCACACGCATAATTAGCCGCGATGCTGGGCGGATTTAAAGTGTGCCATAGGTGCGAATGCTGGGCGGATTTAAAGTGTGTGATCAGACACACACATCTGGGAAGCACCCCGCACCTGTTGGCAACCTGTTTCGCTCTGCTGCAAAAGTGAGAAGCGGAGTAAAAAGACAAGTCCAGTAGTAAACGGGTTACTACAGGCCACGGATGGACTTTCCCCTGCCTGATCACTCCAGCGCGCTCTCATGGCGTCGGGATGGTGCTAGCCAGGCATTCTGACTCCGTGCTGTTGTTTCCCCCCCCCCTTCTCAGTATGCATATCATCACACACTCCATAGGGAGCCCTCAGTGCTGAGATATGATTCATCAATTCCCCATTTAAGCAAATTGGAAACAAACGGCAAAAAAAAAACCACCCGACTCACCCGCGGTTGCGTCTTATCACGCAGTGGCGGGCTGCCCCTGCAGCTTCAACGGACTGTGTGATCGCGCAACTGCCGGTCAAATTCCTCAGGAGGGAATAGCCTCGTTTCCCCCTTGGATCAGTTCATCTCGCGCATGTGACTGCACCCCAAATAATGCTTTTAAGGCAAGAGGCAAACAGAGGTGATTCGCCATTGCCTTCCTCTGCATAGCAACCCTCAACTTCCTTGATGGTCTCCATTCATGTACTAACTATGGTTGACTCTGCTTAATTTCTGAGATGTGATGAGATTGTGCTAGCCTGGGCCATCCAGGTTAGGGTATTAACAAAACCAGAAAATCTCTGTTCCTTATATTTAACAAAATGTAACAGTCTTTTGAATACATGTGGTCGATCTGGTATAGCAGTTAGGGTGTGAGAGCCAGTGTGATGTAGTGGTTAAGAGCAGAGTAATCTGGAGAACTGGGTTTGACTCCCCACTCCTCCATGTGAAGACAGCTGGGTGACCTTGGGTCAGTCACAGTTCTCTCAGAACTCTCTCAGCCCTGCCTACCTCACAAGGTGACTGTTGTTGGGAGAGGAAGCAAAGGTGATCGTAATCCATTTTGGGACTCCTTCAGGAAGAGAAAAGCAGGTATAAGAACCAACTCTTCTTCTTTTCCTCCTCCTCCAGTTCGGTGTAGTGGTTAGGAGCACGGACTCTAGGGTTTGATTCCCCACTCCTCCACATGCAGCTGTCGGTGTGACCTTGGATCAGTCATAAGTTCTCTCAGAGCTATTCGCTCAAGGGCAAGTTCTCGAGAGAGCTCTCTCAGCCCCACCTACCTCACAGGTGTCTGTTGTGGGGAGGGGAAGGGAAAGGTATTGTAAGCTGCTCTGAGACTCCTTCAGGTAGAGAAGGGTGGGGTATACATCCAATCTCCTCCTCCTCCTCACTGCACCCTTGGTCCTTCCTCATTACTTTTCACTGCCTCAGCAAATGCCAGAGATTTTGGAGACAGTTCCTGGGGAGGGCAGAGTTTTGGGAGGATGTGATTTCACTTCCAGGTGATGCTGTAGGCTGCCTTCCACTGTCTATGTTCTTTGTCATAGAGACTAGGGAAATTCCTAGAGTGTCACTATGTGGAAGCCATTTTTCTCCAGCTCCTCAATCCCTCCTGAATCAAGAACCAACTCCATTACCTGATCCTCTGAGTTACAGAGAGTGTCACTCAGGAGTGGCCATTTTCTGCTGATTTTCACAACCTCTGAGAAGCCTTGTCAGGGGTGGCTTGTATAGCTTCTACCTTTCCCTTTTTTGTGTGTGTGCCATAAACAACATCGTTGCTCCAGATTGTATTTGCTGTTGCTGAATTTTAGCTATAGAGTAGCTGGTCCTTGTTTCCTGAGCTACTCCTTTGCTCAGTTGGGTTTTTTTATTGTTGTTACATGAATTGTTGTTACATGCTTTTCTTTTTAGCCATTTAGACAGTGTCTTTTTTATGGAAAAGGAATAATACAAATGTCTTAATATTAAAAGAAGTGAGCACTGATAAGACCCCCCCGTCTCTGTGTAAGGCCTGAAGCAGTTGTCCCCTACCCTTTTAAAAGGTGATTCCCACTAATTGCATTTTTGCAGTAATGCATATCTCCATTCATATGATTGTAGTCTAACTTTTTCTGGTGTTGAAGGCACTATTACAACTTGTTGATTTTAAAATGATGGTGTTTTGCTTCTTTCCAATTTAGGCTACCCACATTGCCTTGCATAATGATGAAAAGGTGGATGTAATTACAGGCTTGAGACAAAAGACCTTCTATGGAAGACCAAACTGGGACACTGAATTCAAGCAAATTGCAGAAAATCATCCTGGGTAAGGCAAGCTATTGAATAATGTCATTTGACTATCTTTCCCAGGATAAAATGAAGGAAGAGGCGTTTGTACCCCTTTAAAAATTAGTCTTTAAAATAATTTAAGTTGGGTTCTTATGCTGAAAGCATCCTTACGCATAATAAAGCTTTAAATGAAGAAATCTTGGATAGACAATGCCAATAAAATCTAATTTTTGGACAAGAAAATCTAATATTTAGAAGTATTTCAATATCTTGGCATTTGTCCAGCTATAATTGAAAGACACAATCCAATTATTGTTCAGCACAAAGGACAAAGTAACATTAATTTCCCTTGAAAATGGTTATTAAAGAGATAAACAGTGAGGCCTTTTTCTTACAATGTCAAGGATGTGTTTGTTCCCTGACATAATTGGCTGTGGATCTAAAGGCAATGCTCTTATGTTATTAGTTCGTCTCAGCTAGAAAGGCCGACACTGAACTCAGGGGTTGGTTAAGAAAAGCTTCTTTGTTCCCAGAAGACTTTGAAGCAATCATCACAACTTATTTTGTATTCATCAAATAGAAGAACCAAAACAATTCGTAGTAGTGTCCAATGTTTAGCTACCTGCTGACCAAAAATAAATGTGAGGAAACAATTTTTAAAATATTATTCTAAAACAATAAGTTATGTGATGGACTGTGTAACTGAGGGGCAGCTAACTTTGCTTTTGCTAAAAATGAGTTTTTGCTACAAACCCCAGCTCCTACAGACTTTACATTAAATGATGACCTGTGGACACAAAAACTGGTGTAAATGAAGTTGGGGTTTTTTTTGGTAAGCCATCCATGTTAATGCCTGAAAATATTGTTTTCCTTTGTAAACATTTTCAATTTTATTTCCCTTTTCGGTGGAAAATAAAAGATTCCAAAAAGTTAGCTCAGTGTAAACTTGCTTGGTGTTCTGACAGTATCCCCAAACCAATGGTCCAGAAAACCAAAGAGTTTTTGCTACAAAACCCAGTTCCTGCAGACTTTACATTAAAGCTGGCATCACATACTAGTGAGGTCTTCACAGCAAAGTTACTGATGGATATGAGCAGTACGAAGACATTACATACAAAGCCCCAAAGATATATCTCAATCAACCTGTGGAAATCACTTTCTCAATCTTTCTCACCTTCCTCCTCTTTCAAAAGGGTTTATCCCCCTTAGACATGAACCTGGGCAAAAGGCTGACCATATCTTGATTCCTATTTGGTAGGGTGTGCTGAGAGAACATTGTAAATCATCCCTTGTGTAATCCCCTGCCTTGACCAAACTCCATCACTAATATCACTGACCAAATTCCCTGATTTTCCTGGAAGGAAGAATATTTGTTAAAATTAAAATGTGTTCATTTTATGATTTTTTTTGAATAAAACTATATTTTTAAAAATTTTCTTGGCAGTGACAGCATTGGTGTTTTCTTTTGTGGACCTAAAACACTCTCTAAAATCCTTCAAAAGAGGTGCAAATGGTATTCATCTACAGATCCAAGAGGTGTTCAATTTTACTACAACAAAGAAAGTTTCTAGGCCTTGTTTTAGAAATCTACATGTTTAGATTATTTTCTTCTTTATGTCTGTTGATTTTGGTAGCATTATACTAGCAAGGCATTTGGTGCTTAGTAAATGATATTTTAGTTTAGATTGAGTTACATTTTAATCTGTTTCATCACTTGGTGCACATTTGATGCTTTAAAATGTCCAGCAGCAGAGGAAAGTTCCCCCCGCTTCAGCAGTCCGATAAAGTCTGGCACAAAACACAGACCAAATTCATACATACCACTTGAAAATGCTTTTCAGCATTTCTCCCACTGTTGCTGTATAAGTGTGGGAAAAGGCAATGTTAAGTGTATGTGCGTACTCGTGAAACACGGAAGGGAAGTTTTAAGTGCTTTTGTATCAGGTATCAGAACTGATTGATGTACATTTTAACCTTACTGTGCTTGACAATCGATGTGTGACTTTGACCCTATCTCAAAGCTATTCTACCTGATTTAGGGTAACAAGTGGCCCTAACCACCACCTTTTTTGTGTATATAAACTGGCCCGATGAATGTACAACTCATGTATCTGATGAAGTCAGATGATTCACAAAACTTATGCTTTAATAAATTTTGTTAATCTTTAATGTGCCACTGGACTACTGTTTTACAGTGCTGCTACAGACTAACACAGCTACATATCTGGAAATAGACAGGTTACACAATTAACAAGTTCACAGTTGAGTTTTTAAAAAAACCTTCAGGTATATGCCTTCCAGACCCAGAGACTTGTTAGTGTCCAAGGTCAGGGTCCCCCCACTTGCCCTTCAGGGGGGGAACCAGCATGCCTCCCTTCCATTTGCAGTGGTAGTAGTAGTACCCCCAGGGCCCGAGCACCTACTAGAATGAGCAGGGAGAAGGCTGGGTGGATGACAGTGATGGTCAGTGTTCCCTCTAAGCTGAGTTAGTGTGAGCTAGTGCACAGTTTTTAGCCTCCGGCTCACACATTTTTGTCTTCGCTCAGGAAGGACGGTTCCAGAGCAAACTAATTTATGCAGTAGCCAAATTGCTCTCTCACAACTACAATGCAAGCAGCTCACAAAGTAGAATTTTTGCACACAAGACTCCACAGCTTAGAGGGAGCATTGGTGATGGTGGTGGGGTAGCACAGGTCTCAGAGGTGGCCAGATCAGTCAGCCATCCTGGTGAGGTACTTGCCAAGCCCCCACTGGGGGCGGGTAAATACCTGCCTGGGAGGCTCATTACCTGCTGCTGGTGGATCGGGCCCCGGGGGGAACTCCAAACTCTGCCGGAGGGCATCCCCAGTGTGATGATGTCACCCAGAGGTGACATCATCATGCTGGCCACGTTGTGGGGGGGACACTCTGTGAATCGAGGGAAAACTCTATGGTTTTCCCTTGAGTCTCGGTGCCCCGCCCCCAACGTGTGCGACACGATGACATCACTCCCGACGGAGCCAGGAATCCCCCACTCTGCAGGTAAGTCGACTTGGCAACCCTTGTGAGGAGACACGGCACTGTTGACAAACTGTGCCTGCTGTTCCATCTGGAAACACAGAGGGCACTGGCCAGACAGACAGTTTCATGAGTCATCCAGGGCTCAGCAATAGCGAGGACTCCTCAGGAGAAGACGACTCCTTGGAGAAGAGGAGCCCTGCATAGCTAACCTTGAGTCAACAGAAGCAGGAAAATGAGCTGCAGGGATTCACAGCCAACAGCTGATGCAGAACCACCGACATCCTCCAGTCCTGATTCAGCAGGTGAACCTCAGTTATCCATTCCCAGACTATCAGTATCACCTACACCCTTAGAGCATTGCAGACAGAGGCTGAGAACAGAACTACAGACAAGACTGCAGAGTGCACGTATCCTGGCCCGATGCCAGTTGCTTGCTGATACCAAAGATAAGTAGTTGCAGGATTGCTTCTGAGCAGCTAGCTGCAAGCATGACCCTTAGATATGTGGTTATAAAACTACCCAAGAGAAGCTATTAGGCATGGATGCAACACGTATGATAGATGCTAAGCCACCGACTCTGCCTTGTCTGATTCTTGAAACTCTGACCTTGGACTGGACACTCTACCTTGCCTGATTTCTGGAACCCTGACCTTGGACTGAATGACCCTGCCTTGCCTGACCCTGGCACCCGATACTCAAAGCCTGCAAGCCAGTACAGACAGCTTCTTCAGGCACTGAGGGGAGCAGACAGCCAATGGGAGGGCAGTTCTGCTAAAGTTTTTAAATAAACATTCTGCTAAAGTTTTAATCATGGCTCCTTACAAGGCCACAACCCCCCACCTTAGGGCACTGGGAGATCCTGGGGCCAACCTGCTGCCAGCTCTTCCTTTAAAAGGTGCTCCAAGGAAAATGAGCTACAGTCCTCTACTACAGCTGTGGAAGAGAAACATGGTAAGGGAGAGAAGGCTTTGGGTGAGATTGAGGTCCCCCATGACTGACACCCCCCCCCAACTGAAGCACCAAAAGACCCTGCCTAGAAAGGACACTGGAGGGTGTCTCCAGGGGGTCAGACCCTGATGGTTAGTTTTTAATTCACTCAGTCTTATAAATTAATCTATTGTCATCTCAGTTCAAGACAGTGCTTCATCACCTTTCACAAAAACTGTGGCTCTAATATGGGTAGGGGTGCCAGTTCCAACTCAGGAAACACCTGGGGACTTTGGGGGTGGAGCCAGGAGATTTTGGGGTGGAGCCAGGAGCAAGGATGTGACATCACTTCTGTGATGTCACTAGGGTTGCCAGGTGAGGCTGACAAGCCAGAAGGGAGTTCTGGCCATCACATTTAAGCATTCCTTTTAAATGCTTTCCCTCCATTGGAAATAATGGAGGATGGGGGCGCCTTCTTTTGGGGCTCATAGAATTTGACCCCCTGGCTGCTATAAGGGGGGGGAACAGATCTGAAATGGGAATGTTATTGAAGCAGTCAAGCCGGTGCTTTTGCTCAGCTCCTTTTCCCGGAGGCCTCTTGAGCCGGCCTCTTTGGGCGCTGCATCCCTTCCTCTGGCTCCCATTTCCAGGCGCTCCCCCCCCCAAAAAAAAACGGTGAGAGACCAGGTGGGAGGCGGCGTGGGTCCGGGCCCGCCCCAGGTCGGTGATCTTCATGCACGTCAAGTAGTTCTCGAGGATCACTACCCACGTTTCCCATTGCTCGGGATGGGAGAGGTCAAAACGAGCGATGCCATCGTGGGAGGTCGAGGCAGCGGAGGAGGAAGAGGACGAGGAGGAGGCTGGAGAAGACATGTTTGCTGGTTCGCTTGCGAAGAGAGGCGAGGCGAAAACTGCGAGCGAAGATTACTGCGAGGTCTTACGGAGCGAGGCGCGGTGCGATGTGCAGTGATCCACGGCGAAGCGGCGGGGCTGCGGTGGTCTCTATCGGGAGCTCGGTCCATGCTTAGTCTCGTCCGGGTCGTGTTCAGGGAAGGCAGAATCCCATCCTCGTCGCCAGTGAAAAGTACTGAGAAGCGTTGAGTGATTTCTGCGAAGTACTTTTATTCGGAGGGAACAGGACAAAGGATGCCGGCTCACAGGCCGGTTTATATGCTCAGAAAACCCACCACCAAAACACACCCCCTACTTCCCTATAGGTTATATACAGTAGCCGAGAGTCCCATAGGCTCTCGGCTGCGGACCTGGCCCTCTGATAGGTGCGGGCTAGGATCCGCTCAGCTATTGTTCTATCGGAGCGAAGCTTCAGGCTTTTGCATGACCGCATGGCCCAACGGTCGCGCATGTGGTAATGGCAGAGTACATTACACCCCTCCCCCCATAGTCCAGACTACCCACACACAAAGTCCTGGAGGTACGCTGGGGCCTTTCTGGTCCTTGTGGAGCGGCGGAGTTCTGGTGTGATGGTCGTGGGTGCTACAGGGGCCCGTGGCGGGGAGGTTGGTTGTGGTGTTGCCGGTGGCGACAGCGCAGGAGGTTCCGGGGCGAGACGGATGGGAACTGGTGCTGGGGCCGGCGGCTCGGGCGTGGAGGAAGTTGCTTCGTCTGGCTCCATAAATTCCAGGTCCTCGGGGTCGTTCGGGAGGACCCGCCGCCATAGTTGGTCGATGTGGTGGTGGAGCAGTTGGCCATCCTCACAGGAGACCTCATACGATCGAGGTCCTCTCACTCGTACAACTCGTGCGGGGATCCAGGGTGGCCCTTGTGCGTAGTTCCTGGCGTAGACTGGGTCCTCCGGAAAGAAACCCCTCGCGGCTTGGTGTGATTCTGTTGTTGGTTCTTCCTCGGGTGCCTGGTCCGAGTGTAGCCGGTCCAGCCTGGTAGTCAGGCGGCGACCTAACAGGAGCTCAGCAGGGCTGCGAATTTCATGGACATGTGCAATGAGTTCCCGCAGGTTTTCGATGGGTCCCTCGGCAGGTTCACAGGGCCACCCATCTCCCTGGACCTGCATCCAGCGGTCCGCCCCATCCGGATAAAGGCCCGGCACCCACCCATCGTGATGAGGCCAAAGATCGAGGCGGAACTGGACCGGCTGGTGGCCCAAGGGGTGCTGGAGCCGGTTACGTCCGCCCGGTGGGAAACCCCGATCGTCACACCCATTAAGCCAAA